TGAAGCCCTCGCCCGCCCAGCCACCGCGCCACGGCCGCCCCTCTGCCGGGCCCCTCTCCTTCCCACCTCGCCCCCCTTCCCTCTTCGGTCCTCTTTGTCCCCGACGCTTCGCTGCGCTCCTCCTCTGCTCGACCGCCCCGCCAGCGCCAGCGCCGTGCCCCGGGCTCCCCACCTTCCTGGAGTCCGACTCCCGACCCCCTGGACCTCAGCATCCCACGCCGTCCACTCCCTGCGCGCACCCCTTATTCCTGCCTGCCCTCAGGCCCGCATTGCTTCCTGACCTGTCCCCTCTGCCCTTCACCCTACACCCCGAATGTTCCCCCGGGTGGGCACACCTAGCCCAGCCACCTGACCCCAATGAGTATCTCAGGGTAACCGGCCCGGTTCCCCATGTCCTACCTGCCCTGTCTTCCAGCGGGGTGTTGGGCCTGACCTTTCACAGGTAGGACGACTTGAAGCTTCCTGGGTTAAGCATCGTGTATCTCACCCCCACACACACACTCCTCCCCCCCCCCATCCCCCGTGCTCTTGTTTGTATTCGAAAGGCATTTGGGTAACTGGATCTAGGCAGATCGTCCACTGCTCTCCGAAAGCATGTCCCTATTTTCCCAAAAAGGTTCTGGGTGATTAACTTCCCCATACTGCACTCACCCACTACCCTTTCTTTCTTCAGATTGTGCTCTCCCTCCTCCCTTTGCCCCCCCCCCCATCAGCTTTATTGCTTTGACTTAATTTGAAAGTTTGGCCTTGAGCCTGGGCTGGAGAACATATTCAAGAGGCTGTGGGACGTGCTTCCTCTACCCAGTTCGGTTATCTTTGAGCTACTTTTATTTAACAGGAGGGGAGAGATTAGGAAATATTGCCCCCTGACAGTCTCTCACTGTGCCATCACTCAATCACACTTTGTTGGCCACGGGCCTGAACTTTTTCAGACAAGAATTCTATGAGTTTGTATACATTTCTTCTGTCTTCCAAAGTAGACACCGGGCTCAAGTGACACCTGTGCTTCTGTCTTCATTCAGTATTATCTTTCTAGAACCAAGCAGGGAAAATAAACTTCAATTAGGTGAAAATGTGTATTTGCTCTTTTCGCAAAAACCTGTGTCCAGAGGTTGCATGAGAGAGCTGTGTGTATTCAAGAGAGGAACAAATGCTCACATTGTCCCTGAGTTGACTCTGATCTCACACACACACACACACACACACACACACACTCCTGAAAGAGCTTTGGTCCCCTCTGAGTCTCCATTTAACGTTGACAACCCAGCATAGTTCCCTAATGGCCCAGCGGGTTGCACAAATTGGCAGTGCCCTGAGATATTATCAGGACAACACCCTATTGAGTAAGTTCTTGAAACTACACAAGTGGAGGCCCTTTCTCTGGGCCACTGGGCGCCTGTGGCCTTTCCACCAATCAGAGCTGGAGGTTGCACTGGCCACCTGTTGTGGAGAAAGGGAACATCTTTTAAGTTTCACTGTGAGTATTTAACAATGGTATATAGTGCAGGGGTTTGGCCCTGGGAGAGGAGCAGCCTGCTGACCTGCGCTACCAGAAAAGAGTTGTGGTGCCCTCCCTTCCCCCTGCCCCCCTCCCCCCAATCTCAGTGAGCTCTTTAGGACTAGAGCTGAAAAGATTAAGATGTTGAGTTTTTCTTTTCACTCTGGATTCTTCACCTTGTACTCATTCAACGGTGCATCTGGAGCACTCTGAGCTTGATTACAGAGGATGAAGAAAAGTATAATCAAAGTTACAGAGAGTAAACCTGACGTCGTAATCAAACCTCCAGGATCAGGCACACAAAAACTCTTGGCAGTGGAAATCCCGCTAGCTGCAGGAGTGGGGATTGCATGTAGGCAATGTGATGCATTGAGCATTGCAAACTGAAGTAAAAACCTTGTCCCAAGGAGCTCACAGAAGCTAGGAGCGACTGTTGTATCTCATACTGCTTCTTAGCCAGTGGTTTGCAAGTCCTTTGGAATTCCTCCTTGTTAGGCTGTAGATACCTTTGAAAAAGTGACAATAATCATGTTAACTAAGCGAGACTCAGAGAGACAAAAAACACATTTTCTCTCATATGTGGACGTTAGATCTTAATTGTAAATATATATGTAAGCATACCACAAACACATTATCTGAAGTATGGTATACACAGGGGCAGACTCCGGTTGACAGTTTAATAAAATGAGTATCAAGAAGCTGAAATTTGAAGTTGTGGAGGGGGTGAAGTCAAAGGGTGGGGAGTGAGATGGAGGGGATAGGAGTAGATGAATGAAGAGATAAAGTGTGGATGAATACATCATAATATGCAGTGTATATATGTGCAAATGGAGCTAGGAAAATTTCAGAAATGCTTGGGGTTGGGAGAGATAGGGGAGAGTTATAGAAGAACTGATGTTGATCAAGAGGCATGGTACTCATAAACTGACATTGAAGTGAAACCCCTTTGTACAACTACTTAAAGATAATAAAAAGAATTTTTAAAAAAGAAAGATGAGAAATATTCTTCAGACAACATTTAATTATGATGATCTAGGTAAGATAAGCAAAAGGTATGAATAGAGACTTTGATTAGGGAAAGGGGAAAGGAAAAAAACCATGAGACAAGATGGGCACATTGGAGGCATTTAGAATGAGAAAAACACTAGGCATTTTGGTAGTCTGATCATTTACTTGATGGTTTTGTCTAGGCAGTCACCATACATATGGTGGGTATTTTTGCTGTTGTTTTGGTTTGGTTTTGGTGGCAGTGGGGTTTAAATTCTAGGCTCATGCTTGTCTGGTAGACACTCTTTAACACTGAGCCACACCTCTCCAGTTCTGTTTTTGTTTTTGCTATAGTTGTTTGCTGGTCATTTTTTGAGACAGAGTCTCATTTCCTGCATAAGCAAGTATCTGGCATGATCCATCTATGTCAGTCTTACCTTAGGTTAACAAGCCCACACCACCACGTGCCCAGTTCTCTGTTTGTGAAGGGTTAGTTCTTGAACTTTTCTGCCCAGGTTAGCCTTGAATATTGACAGCTATTTTGACCACCTATGATGTGCCAGACATTATTTTAGGCACTGGCAAATGAGTAAGACCTGACTCATCAGAAAGCTTTCAAAGAGTACTATGCATTGTGATATACACACAAACACACATACACACAAGTATGCACTCCATCCAGTCTCCTAGAGATCATGTCATAAAGGTCACTGCCATTCATGGCAGCAACTTAATAAATTCATATGTCGTATGCAGGATGCGTGGTGGTTAACTTCTAAGGTATTTATAAAATAAGACTTCAGGGAAGAGGCAATTCACACAAGATCATTGTAAGATTCCAAGAACCCTGGATCATGCCTGGTACACAGTTTGTTTGCAATAAATAAATATTCATTTAAGAGAGAAAGATTAAGCCAGTGGCTTGCACCTGTAATCCTGGATACTTGGCACTCTGAGATTAGGAGTTTTGTCATTCCAGGACAACCAGGCAGAACTCCAACTCAATGGAAGGAAGCTGGATATAGTGCTACATGCCTGTTCAAGGACTGGAAGCCTAAAATAGGCAGATTGAGGTCCAAATGCATCCCTGGGCAGGAAGTGAGGTCCCATCTCAAAAACTTTCCAGCAAAATAAATAAATAAATACAACTGTAGCTATGACTCAGCATTAGTGCGCCTGCCTGACAAATGCAAGACCCTCCGTTCAAACCACAGTACTACCAAAATGAAAGGAAAACAGGAAAGAAGGGAAGGAGAAAGTGAAAAAAGAGGGGAAGGGGAAAGAACATGGGCTATTTTATAGTGGAATATGATGTTCAAAAATCTGGCCAAGGTAGGATTTGAGAAAAACATATCCAAGACTTCTAGACTGGGTAAGAACAGTCTACCTTAGAGAAAGAGGAATAGGACCTTTTACAAACTCCTGCTATGTTAGATTCTTTGTATAAGTTAAAACTAAGATAATATTTGTTTCATTTTAAATTGATCAATCTTTCCATTCCATTTGAAACACAGCCTAATTTCACCAGTTCCAGTGGATCTGAAGCCCATTCATTAAAAATTTTAGAACATATGAAAAGATATATAGGGACATATGCATATATGCACAAACAGGTTAACTAAAGCATGGTATACACAGAGGAGGATTCCAATGGTGTGATTCCTTTGAACAACTTACAGTTTAACAGAATAAATACTGGAAAGCTGAAGCATGTGTTGTGAGGATATAAAGGGGAAGAGAGAAGACAAATGGAGAGAGGAAGGGTAGGAGAATACAATCATTATATTCACCATATATATGTGAAAATGGCATTAGGTAACTTGTGGGGATGCGTGGGGTTGAGAGAGTGGGAAGAATAAAAGGAGTGAGATGGGTCAGGATGCATTGTACTCACACACTGACGTGTTGAAAGCCCTTTGC